ATCTAGGGATTACCCGGGGGTGTCTGAGGTTTTTAGAAAAAGGGAAAAAAAAGACCTTGGAGTCTAAGGTGTTTTTATTTTTTTTATTTAAACACCGGGTAATCCCTAAAACCTGGACTGTTAGGTGTGCCTTGTTGAGAGGGATGAGGAGCTCTGCTCTATACCATGAACAATCTGTTTTTTAAGGCTTCTGTTCTAAAATGGAATGATCAACTCAATTATTTACAGTAATACTGCACACAATTGCCGTTCCCGGACCTGCCATGTTTGTATTTATTAGAGTTCAGACTAGCAGGTATACCATGGTTTCTTTATTCACTTTTGTTCATTGTTTTTTTTTATCTTTTAGTTTTTCTCGCAATGCTATTGGAGATGCGGGGGCACTTTCTATGGCAAAGTTACTGGAGAAAAAACAGGATTTTCATTTAATAAAGTAAGTTTAGCTGATTGAAGTCTTCATTTTTTTTTGTATACACCTATTGCACACAAGGCAAAAAGCAGGATTTAATGCTAATCTAATCAGGTTCAACTGATGCATTAATAGATCATAACCAGGGTTATCAAACTCTGGACCCACAGATGTTGTAGAACTATAACTCCAATTATTCCCTTTCAACCTATTGCATCCATAGAATCTTGGGAACTGTAGTCCATCAACATCTTGGGGGCCAGAATCCACATTGACTGGTTACTTTCAGACATATATTCAAAATGTTGCCTCAATCCAAGGTCTACTATTGATGTAAATGTTTTCTTCACATTCATAAGAGAATTATATCAAATATACATTTCCCACGCTCACTGAACTGTTATATTCAATAGTTTTCACGTTCAGCAAATCTGATTTTAAACCATTATTTGCAAAATTCCTGGAATTCGTGTCAACTCTGGCAATAAGTGTACATTCACTTAACGCAGACACATCTTTGGAATATGTAAATGTTTTTATTCCCACGATGAGAGAGAAAAAGTCAATTTATTAACATTATATTTTCCATATATGACATCATATTGTTTGATTCAAAATGAATAAAAATTTTTAAAAAAACAAACACTTCCAGATAATACAATAGTAGCTACTAACTACTTTAAAAATAAAATTCTAGTGATGCTAGTTATGTACTGATGACCTGCTGTGATGGGGAATAATTACTTTGCTTAGGGTACTGTATACTTAAACGGCTACTCTAACCCTTTTAACACACTTTTTAAAAACGTATAATGCTATATTGGGCGTTACTAACAAGGTCTCCCTCTTTAAAACACGAAAAAGATATTAAACTGACATTAAATCCAATGCCGGTGGTATCTTCTGGCCTAGCTCCGCATGCCTCCATCCGACATCATCCCTGTCCTCGAGTGGTCCAATCAAATTAGTCTCATAGAGAAGCGCTCTTTTGTGCTGGGATGGAATACAGGCGGAATGACGGAAGAAAGCAGCATGGTGTTGGGGATGCTGAGGGTGCAATAGCTATGAAAAAGGATTGACAAGGTCTTAGTTAGGGGGTGCTTATAGAAACTGAACTGTAGAGGCGTCAGGGGGCTAGAGGAAAGTGCAATGACTCAGGGAGGGAGCACATAGCTTGGTAAAAGTCACTAGTTAGGACTAGGAATAAGCGGCAAAGGATTTGGGATGATGGAGAGGAGTTCAGGGCTGAGGTCAGGGACATGCATGAGGTAGAAAACAGCAAGAACGGGGGATGTAGATAGCAAGGCATGAACTGGAAAGGTCACGTTGAGAAGAAGCACACAAATCATTTAGTGTGAGAGTCAGGTAATAGAGAGAAGCACATGAATTGGAAAACAGAAACTGAGTAGAGCGAGCCACAGGGACTGGAAAATGGAAGATCAGTGATTTCGTTCCTAATGAGAAACCAAGAACAGCCATGCCTTTAGCATACCTTCCAAGTGTCCCTATTTAGGAGGGAAAGTCCCTATTTTAGTACTTTCATTTCTACCCTAATGTTCCATGTTGCTGGTGTGTCTGCGTGTCTAACAAAGTTCCACAGCAATAATACTCACAGTAATGTGTTTTTAAACTACAATAAATGTGTTTAGAAAGTGTGTGTAAATATGATACATTGTTCTTGTTCTAAACTATGTTTTAGTTGCATAAATTGCTATTAGTAAGTCACACAAAATATCGCATTACAGCCGTCCCCGGCCATACCCCCACTCACACCCTCAAAATGAAATTGGCCCTTTTTGTCTATTGAAATTTTGTGAGGTATGGTCTACATATACTCTAACCACTCATCATTTGGATTCCTGCATATAACAAACATATAACAAACACTCTTAGCATGTATCTTAAACCCAGGACTTAGAAACAGTGAGTCACTACACAGTACAAAAGGGCTCACAATCAATAGCATATAGCGTAGAGGATATATTTGTAAGCATGCCGTTATTTTCATGCAATGGATTACATAGGGGTAAATTGTCTGTTACAAAAGACGCCCATTTGGACAAATTAAAGGATCGTCAATTGTATGTATGTATGTGTATGTCTGTCTGTCTGTCTGTATATGTATGTATGTCTGTCTGTAGGCATGCATGTATGTCTATGTATGTATGTATGTATGTCTGTCTGTGTGTGTATGTATGCCTGTCTCTGTATGTATATATGTATGTCATATGTATGTATGTATGTCTGTCTGTCTGTATGTATGTATGTGTATGTCTGTCTGTATGCATGTATGTATGCATGTATGTCTATGTCTGTCTGTGTATGTATGTATGTATGTGTATGTCTGTATGTCTGTCTGTAGGCATGCATGTATGTCTATGTATGTATGTATGTATGTCTGTCTGTGTGTGTATGTATGCCTGTCTCTGTATGTATATATGTATGTCTATGTATGTATGTCTATGTATGTATGTCTGTCTGTATGTATGTATGTGTATGTCTGTCTGTATGCATGTATGTATGCATGTATGTCTATGTCTGTCTGTGTATGTATGTATGTATGTGTATGTCTGTATGTCTGTCTGTAGGCATGCATGTATGTCTATGTATGTCTGTTTGTGTATGTATGTCTGTCTGTGTATGTATGTCTGTCTGTAGGCATGCATGTATGTCTGTATGCATGTATGTCTATGTATGTCTGTATGTCTGTGTGTGTCTGTATGTATGTATGTCTGTGTGTATGTCTATGTATGTATGTCTATGTATGTGTATGTCTGTCTGTATGTCTGTATGCATGTATGTCTATGTATGTCATGTATGTATGTCTGTATGTCTGTCTGTATGTATGTGTATGTCTGTATGCATGTCTGTCTGTATGCATGTCTGTCTGTATGCATGTATGTCTATGTCTGTCTGTATGCATTTATGTCTGTATGTCTGTGTATGTATGTATGTATGTCTATGTATGTATATCTGTATGTCTGTCTGTATGTATGTATGTGTATGTCTGTATGTCTGTATGTCTGTCTGTAGGCATGCATGTATGTCTATGTATGTATGTATGTCTGTCTGTATGCATGTCTGTCTGTATGCATGTATGTCTATGTATGTATGTATGTCTGTATGCATGCATGTCTGTGTGTCTGTATGTATGTCTGTGTGTATGTCTATGTTTGTCTGACTGCATGCATGTATGTCTATGTATGTATGTATATATGTATGTCTGTATGTCATTATATATGTATGTCTGTATGTCAGTATGAATGTATGCCTGCATATCATTATGAACGTATGTCTGTGTGTATGGATGTCTGTATGTCTGTCAGTATGTCTGTATATATGCATGTATGTCAGTCTGAATGTATGTATGTATGTCTGTATGCCATTATGAATGTATGTGTGTATGGATGACAGTGTCTGTATGTCTGTCAGTATGTCTGTGTGTATGTATGTATGTATGTATGTCGGTGTCGGTATGTATGTGTGTGTCTTTATGTCCTCATGCATGTGTGTCTGTATGTATGTTAGTATGTGTCTGTCTGTCACTATGTATGCCTGTGTGTATGTCTCAGTATGTATGCCTATATGCGTGTATGTCTGTTTCAGTATGTGTGTCTGTTAGTATGTATCTCTGTCTTTTTGTATCAGTGTGTGTGTTTGTGTCTGTGTGTGTATTCCTGTGGGCGGAATGTGGAGGCGGACACAGTGGGCGGTATTTGGAGGCGGGCCCCAGGGGGCCCAGACCCTGAGCTGAGTTAGGGGCCCCAAAATTTCTGGTGGCGGCCCTGGCTCCGCCAGGTTCCTCTCGGAAGGTCGGAGAGTTGCCATGGCAATGCTCAGATCTCGCGATAGTGAACTCTAGCCCCGCAGGCTAGAGTTCACTCACCACATGACCACCATGGATGCCAGCAGCACAGTCCACCCTCCCTACAAAAGATAAGAAGGGAGGGGGGCTATTAACTAAATGGTCCCCCCACCCCCCTTAGTCCCTCCAAACAAATACACACACACACAGCACCCTTACACATATATACACAGCACACACACTAACAGCACCCTCACACATACAGCACCCTTACACACACAGCACACACACAACACCCTCACACAAAGCACACAGCACCCTTACACATACACACACACAGCACACACACCCTAACAGCACCCTCACACGCACACACATACACCACCCTCACACATACATACACACAGCCCACACACACACACACCACCCTTACACACACAGCACACACACACTAACAGCAACCCCCCCACACACAGCACCCTTACACATACACGCAGCACACACACACACTAACAGCACCCTCACACATACATACACACAGCACACACACACTAACAGCACCCTCAGACACACATACACACACCACCCTCACACATACATACACACAGCACACACCACCCTTAACACACAGCACACACACACTAACAGGAACCCCCACACAGCACACTTACACATACACACAGCACACACACACACACACACTAACAACACCCTTACACACACACACACCACCCTCACAAACACACACACAGCACCCATATACACACACACACACACACACACACACAGCAGTGTATGTGTGTGTATATATATATATATATATATATATATATATATATATATATATATACACACACACACACACACACACACACACACACACACACATACACGTGTGAGTTTGTGCTTTAGGGTGCACACCCTTATGCAATAGGCTGTGCACGCCTATGGATAGGCATAAGGCTATCCTAACTATAAGATAAGGCCAGGGACTAATGAAAGTATTTAGAAAATTAGGCAGAGTATATGGGCCGAATGGTTCTTATCTGTCGTCACATTCTATGTTTCTATTTTGAACCAAGATGAAGTTGTTTTCAGTTTTATCATTGCAGCTCAAACTTTGCAAGTCCATAACCAGCACTGTTTAGTGAATAAGCCATCTGTCTTTAGCAGAAAAACATACTCAGTTGGCCCATTTTGGCTACACAGACAGGCATCACACAGGGCTATTCACTAGAAAGAGTTCAAAGTGAATTTCAAAGTTAAGATCAAAATAGCAGAAAATTCTCAATGTCCGCCATGCTTTCACTTTACTCAAGCCTTTTATTTGAAATTCACTTTCAATTCTCACTTTAGTAGATAACCCTTTCATACTTTGTGTGTTTATTGTATGCCCCTGCGATAGCACTTCAGAATGCGCTCTTATAAACAAAATATATTAATAAGAAGCAAAGACTGAGAAAGTCCTGCTGAGGAAATACAAACATTTTTCTACTCGGTAAGTAAACTCCATGACTACAGAGCCTGTTCGAAAACACAAGATCACAGGTTCAAATCCCGGCAGGGTCAACTCAGCCCTTCATCCTTCCGAGGTCGATAAATGAGTACCATCAATTGGGTAATAAAATCTATTACTATTATTCAGCTGCCAATTCGGTTAATTCTAATATGAATGCTGAAAACCGCTTTGAGTCTCACTGGGAGAAAGGAACTATATAAATACTAGTTATTATCATAATATGATAATTATCTTAATTTTTAAATTTGGGACAGAACTATGTTATTACATTATGGAAGAGGGTGACTAGCCTTTGCTTTCTATGTTGGATTACAACTCCCATAATTCTCTACCAGCCAACACAGCTGAATGGCCAAGCCTGGTCGGCTTATTATAGGATATCTAAAGGGCATTCTGTCAGTTTATAAATCAATACTTAATATTTATAATTTTTTTTCTCTTTTTAGCTTGTCTCACTGTTTCTCCGTTACCTCGGAAGGAGGAAGACGTTTCATAGAGGGTCTTTTACATTGCACTGAATTACGGGAGATTCAGTAAGAATATTTTTTACATACATACATTATGTACTAAGAAGATAGAGGGGTTTATTCACTAAATACCAAATTCCAAATGCACTGAAATCTCAATGATAAAATTCAGTCTAAAATAGTCCATTTGTGACTATCGTTGACTTGGAGAATTTTTCCAGATCACCTATTCTTGCCTAAAGTTTGCAATTCAGATTTTAATTCACTATAGTTTGGAGATTAGTGAATACAACCCTATGGAATCCTGTGTCTTGAGCTTATTCACTAAAGTGTGAATTGTCGTCAGTTCAAAGTGGCAAATCTGTATCTGCACAGTGTTCTGATCTGAGGTCTGTAAAGAGGAAGACTCAGAGCAGCTAACTGAAGCAGTTAGAAAATCCTCCGGCTCTCTGATTGATTCATTAATGGCTTATAAAAGTGCTTAATTAATTATTCATAAAAGTGCTGATTTCTCATAAAATTCGGCAATTTTATAAACTGTCATTATAATGGGATAATTCTTGCCAGGAAAACAAACTTGAAAGCTTGGGTTGACACTGGACGTCTCCATGCATAGCGTGAGGACACCAGTGTCCGTGAGGTGACCAAAAGTCGCCTATTAGCCAGGAAGTCCACCACTAAAGGTGGAGTTAACCCGAGCAGGTAATTATTGCAGTTTTTAAAAACTTCAATAATTACCTGCTCAGGGTTAAGGGACCTGGGACAGTGCACCCAGACCACTTCAATGAACTTAAAGGACCACTATAGTGCCAGGAAAACATACTCGTTTTCCTGGCACTATAGTGCCCTGAGGGTGCCCCCACCCTCAGGGACCCCCTCCCACCCGGCTCTGGAAGGGGGAAAGGGGTTAAACTTACCTTTTTCCAGCGCTGGGCGGAGCGCTCTCCTCCTCCGTTACGCCCCGCCGGCTGAATGCGCACGCGCGGCAAGAGCTGCGCGCGCATTCAGCCGGTCTCATAGGAAAGCATTTACAATGCTTTCCTATGGACGCTTGCGTGCTCTCACTGTGAAAATCACAGTGAGAATCACGCAAGCGCCTCTAGTGGCTGTCAATGAGACAGCCACTAGAGGGAATAGGGGGAAGGCTTAACCCATTAATAAACATAGCAGTTTCTCTGAAACTACTATGTTTATTAAAAAATGGGTTAACCCTAGCTGGACCAGGCACCCAGACCACTTCATTAAGCTGAAGTGGTCTGGGTGCCTAGAGTGGTCCTTTAAGTAGTCTAAGTGCCTCTAGGGTCCCTCTAAGTAACCCTGAAAGAAAGTCAGGTTTATATGCTTTAAATCACAATTGACATAACAGAGACAAGAAAGAGCTATGAAAAAAAAAAAAAAAAAAAATCTCAAATTATATAGAACAATGAGGGAGATTATTGACGTGTTGCAGACAGATTTGCACCTTTTTTGGCATTTGTTGTCATGCTAGCTGTTCTAAAACAAGCTGTCTCCTTGCAATGTAGGCACAAGTACACTCCTGGTATCATAGTCCAAGCTGTTGTGGTTATGGTGGCTGGGGTATTCCTTTAAAATCTTCATATAGGATTTAATTAGGACTTCAGAATATTACTAAATTTTGTGTTTTTATTATTCGAACCATTGTAATAGAATAGACAATAATATAGTTATTACGTAAATAATGGCATGATTTGCTGCAGGTGACTGGTACTCAACCATGTTCATCCCATATTTATCAGCCCTGCCGCCTGTAGAATGTTACTGTATTAGGGCACCAAAGATAAAAACACGATCACCTTATATAGATTGTGCATTTTCTACAAAGTTGGCATGAGAGCTTAACAGGTCACTTTGTAACTGCATTACACACAATTATCATTTGACTACATGGAATAGAATTCTGTGTTTTTATAACAATATTCTTTATATCACACAGCTTGGAATCTCTACAACTGGATGATGTATCTCTTCAAATACTGTGTCCAGGCTTCTCAAATATGCCATCCTTAAAGACGATAATGTAAGAAACCTTTGCTCCTTTACTTATGACATTTGTAGTACTCTAGATTCTATAATACAGAGTGAGGGTTGGAAAATATATTTGACAGGGCTGTTTAATAATATGTGAAATGTTGAGAGTCCAAAATTAATTTAACATTTTAGGTTTTAATATGTAAATTAATAAAGGTAGCTGAATAGCCTTGTTGGTGTTTATGAGACAAACAGACAGACATTCCTAAACGTATAGTGAATTGATATATATTAACCAATTCTATAAGAAATGCTAGGTATTCAAATCCTTACTTAAAAGGGACTTGAGTCAATCCGCTCAAAGGGCTTAATACAGGGGGGTAGAGCCAGCAGCCATACTGACTGGACGTGTGTTGATGGTGCTCTGAACAAGCAGGGGAAAATATCTGATATTGCTACCCAATTTTCCAGCGATACTTCCCCCAAAGTGTGTGCATCCAATACCTCATATGATGGGATGCAAAAACAAGAAATATAGGGCAGATAAGCCTCTGACAATCGCTGATATTGGCGATCTTTTATGGAGATCGCGGAACCCCACGAGGCCTGACATGGTGCCTCGCTTCGACGAGCCCTCCAGGTCATCTAGTGAGTCATCCCTTGTCGACTTGCAGGAGCAAAAGACACCTGTTGCAAAGCAGAGAGCTGACTTACCTCTAATAAAATCTGGCGAACCACCGGTGACAGAAGGTACTTTAAAGGCTCTCTTAGCTGATCTCCGACGCAATATAGCCTCTGACAATCAGTTTAAAGAGGAAATCAATGTGGTTTCGGTTCACCTCCAGGACGCTGAACTGCAAACTGCTGCCCACGAGGTCCACCTCACTAGCATTGAACAAGAGCTGATAGTAATAAGAAGTGAACAGGCTACTATGCAACACAGAATGGCGGCTATGGAGGACTGCAGGCGTTGGAAAAACGTGAAGATTCAGGGCCTGGCAGATTCTTCGGAGGCTACTCACCATCCTTTTTTTGGCTAAACAAGCTAAGGCCGTGCGGCTGGATGGCTGCTATCGGCTTCTGGCACTGACATCTGGCACCATGGGAACCAGCAGCGATGTTATAGTCCATTTCCAGAACAGGTCGGACAGGCAGGCTCTCATGTCGGCGGTACATCACAAGTCACCCTACCACTTCGAGGAGCATGCACTAAACTTCTACCAAGATCTGTCCAGAGCCACAATGGTCTGGTTGAGGTCCATGCGACCCTTAACTGCCGAGCTAATAAAGCACCGGATACCCTACAAATGGGGCTCTCCCAGGAGTCTGCTGGTTCCCCACGATACTGGGACTTTGAAAATTACCGATGCCTCTGAAGCGGCCGGAACTCTGAGGATTCTGGGGCTGTCTACGCACACCAGAGAACAACAGCAGCCAGGAGCACCCCCGCAGCATACAGCTTGGGATCCTGCCAGGGTCCATCTGTTCATGTCTGCCGCCACTAAGTGGGTACACTCCCATCCTATGTCCTTACTACAACACAGGGCACAACGCCAACCTACCCATCTGCAATATTTGACCCACCTTGCAAGCTCCTGTAGTGAATGGTTGGCACTGTTTAACAGCTTATATATTTTATTACTTTTTTATATTTTTTATTGCTATTAAAAGCTTAATCCTCATGCCCAAACTGCTACTGCCATGGCTAGGCACAAATGTATTGTGATGTCTCAAACCTTGTTACTTATTGTTCTCTACATTGTGCACTACCAGTAAAATTTTGTGGATTTAGAATAAAAAATTTTTATTTATTTTTTAAAAAAGGGCTTAATACAATTTGGAATGGAGTAAAGACATGTTGGGGCTTCATGACAAATCCTGTTATGTCGGATTGATTTCCTGGCTGCTATCAAACTATTTGTTTGAATTTTAGTTTGGTAAAATGCCCTACAGTGCAGCCCCTGGTATAATTGGGGATTGACCGTAATTGGGTGGTAGTAGTAAGTTGTTGTTATTTTACTTCAGAATTGAGAAATTTGTTTACACAATTAAAAACAGTGACCCATATCCGACTGCATATGAGGCATTGTGGGGTCTCCCTGCGTTTCAGTTATACTATATCTATGGGGACTGGTAAGCGTGCCGGACGCTTTGTAAGTCTATTTCTTGTCATATGTAAATCGGAAGCAATGTATTTGTTGGGGATGTGATTCTAAGGTGTTCCCTCTATGTGTTCCTTTGTCTGTGGAATAATAAAGTTGCAGCCTCACCTCTTCCTCAGTTGCATGTTGAGCAGTGAAGTGTTAAACATATGTGTTGTGTTCCTCCATTTTTGCTATTCTACCCGCAGTATGCAGATTGCAACAGTTTTACGTAGATTATTTATTTTGAATTTTTATTTCATTCTTAAGGCTTAGCGAAAATAGTATCAAATACAATGGGCTCCGGCACCTAGCACAGCACCTTTGCACCTGCACCCTCATCGAAGCCATTGAGTAAGTTAATTATTCATTTATTTTTTATTATAATGTTAAAGAGTGTCAAAACAATCACTGTATGCTATCCTGTATATTAATTATATTAACATTATTCCATGAACTTTATACTACTTTGCATATTAAGTTATACAAAACAATGTAACACACAGAGTTTAATTCTCACTATTTTGAAGTTATATGACAGTTTATCTACATGTCTGTCTGTCCGTCCAATCATCCAACAATACGCTCGCTTCTCCCTCCCCATCGAGCCTGTTTCAGATATTCACAACAGCAGATCAGTAGCCATAAATCTATAGCTTTCTACTTATTTGGGCTATTGATCCCCCTTTCTCAAAATCACACACAGTGTCCATCTTAGTCCTACTCACTTCTATAGACTGGCATGCCTTCAAACGGCTAGCTACAATTCCTGCCCAACAAGTAGAAAGCTTAAAGCACCGTTCCAGATACCTAAACACTTTAGCTTCCTGAAATCCTTTACACTGATCAACCACAAAATTAAAACCACTGACAGGGGAAGTGATTGTATTGTTACAGTGGCACTTGTCAAGGGGTGGGATTTATTAGGCAGCAAGTGAACAGTTCTTGAATTTCATGTGTTGGAAGCAGGAAAAATGGGCAAGTGGAAAGATCTGAGTGACTTTGACCAGGTCCAAATAGTGATAGCTAGAAGACTGGGACAAAGCATCTCCATAACGGCAAGTTTTGTGGGGTGTTCCCGGAATGCAGTGGTTAGTACCTACCAAAAGTGGTGCAAGGAAGGACAAACAATGAACTGTCATCAGAGTCATGGGCGCCCAAGGCTCATTGATTCACATGGGGAGCAAAGATCAGCCCGTCTGGTCCGATCGCACAGAAAAGGTGTTGTAGCTCAAATTGCTGGGAAACGTAATGCTGGCCATGATAGAAAGATGTAAGAACACACAATATATCACAGTTTGTTGCATATGGAGCTGCAGACTGGTTAGAGTGCCCATAATTAGCCCTGTCCACTGCCAAAAGCACCTTCAATGGGGACCTTCAGAACTGGACCTTGAAGCATCGAATAAAGGCTGCCTGGTTACACGAATCACATTTTCTTTTAGATCAGGTGGCTGGCCGGGTACGTGTGTTTACCTGGGGAAGAGATAGCAGCAGGATGCACTATGGAAAGAAGGAAGGCTGGCAGAGGCAGAGTTATGCTCTACTTGGAAACCTTGGATCATGGCATTCATGTGGATGTTACCTTGACACCATCTACCTAAATATGGTTGCAGACGACATACACCCCTTCATAGAAATGGTGTTCCCTGATGGCAGTAGCTTCTTTCATCAGGATAATGCACCCTGTCACACTGCAAAAATTGCTCGAGGAATGGTTTGTGGAACATGACAAGGAGTTCATGGTGTTTTCTTGGCCTCGAAATTCCCCAGATCTCAATCCAAATGAGTACCTGTGGAGGTTCTACGTTGAAACTTGCAGGACTTGAAGGATCTGTTGCTAATGTCTTGGTGCCAGATACCACAGGACATGTTCAAAGGTCTTGAGGAGTCCAGGAGCCTCAATGAATCAGAGCTGTTTTGGCAGCACAAGGGGCATCTACACTATATTAGGCAGGTGGTGTTATTGTTGTGGCTGATCAGTGTATATGTGAAGCGTATGCCCTTTTTTAATATCACAGAAATTGGCACTTTTATAAATAAACTTGGGTACACACCCCCTGGCTGTCAATCCAAGAAAATTGGTCATGCTACATTGAGATTGTTTAGCTCAGTGGAGCTGAACTCAAGAGGCAGGTAATTAACCAAGCACTTGCAGCCCCTGCTGCCAGCCAGACATAAATTTCCTTTGCTTATTAGGGGGAGCATTTACCCTTTAATCTCCTCCCCCATCCACCTATTGGAATTTAATTTCATTTCACAGTGTTCACAAATCCAGTATCAAAATGTCTCGTTAAAATTGTAATATTGGTACTCTTGTCTTTGCAGCTTAAGTTCCAATAGCATTGATAATGCTGGTGTGGAAACATTGTCTGGAGTGTTATCCAAATTTAAGAATTTGAAGAAAATCATGTGAGTTCATTGTTCTATTTAAACATGTATTTGTGTTTTAGACA